CTAATTACTAGAGACCCAAAAATCAATCCGTTTCTTTTTTTTTCAGAGAATACAACCAGCTTCTTTACGGCTTGTGGATAACGTGCAGTTCATCATGGGACAAGCTCTGAGAACAGCACCGAAATCGTACTGGGCCTCATTGAAGCACTCTCTCAGCTTTATGTATCTCACCAAATGCAAAGGGTTCAAAGTGATTATTTTTTTACGACCATTATTAGCACTTCTATGTTCCGTAACCAGCAACTAAGCTCTCGCAATTGCGAACTTAGTGACACAGGCGGCATCCGGCAGCATCAAAAACACCAAAAAGGCTTCGTGATATCGATTTTTTGTGCCATCACCACGTGTGCTACTGAGTCCGTAATTGCGGCAAACGTGGTTACGGGGAACGGAATATACACTGGCCCTAGCGCTCACATTACAGTAGAACGCAATGTTAGATGTTGACAGCACTCGCACACTCGAAATACTTCTGGAGTAATATTATAGATGAAGATGAAGGGTTGACAAATTATCTTTAAATTTTTAGAAAGCATTGGGAAGTAGAAAACATCTAGTCAGAGCGTCAAATAGCCTAGGGAAGATTTTCCAGCCAAAGAGATATCCTAACAAAGAGGAAGAGTCTGAGAGGTCTTCTAGGGTGTGGAGCGCCTTTTCAAAACGATTTTCTGCAACTAATAGGAACTCATGACTGAATACAAAACCGGAGCCCACTTCCGCTGAGCGGCCCCGTGAAGGCCAAAAAGTAGTAAAGAAATGGTCCAAGGTTCGACTCCTCGTCATGAATGTTTTTTTTGCATTATGGGCTAGACCTTCCTAGGTTTGCTCCAAAAGCACCAGCGCTAACAGCAGGTGTTTCATTCTTTACCAGGACCATCCAGCCTCACAATTACATTTCTACCGAAACCCGGTAACAGCCACCCAATCCAAGCAATTTTTTCGATTCTTTTTTGGCCTGCAGTGGTCGCTCAGCGAAAGTCAACTCAATTTAGACCCATATGGGTTTGTAGCCCTATACCACGTGAAACCTTTTGAGAAAGCGCCATACACACCATGAACCTCCCGTGTATGTCGTGCGTTAGTAAGTAACCCTTAGTGGACCCCTATTGTCTGCCAGAGAGGCCTCGACGCTGCAGAAACTAACACCAAAATGTGTCAGCAAATGGTTACGCGAAAGAATTTGAAATCAGCAATGGAAAAGTTCCTCATTATTTGTCGAGCCAGCATCTTTCATGACAGGCCTGAAAGCTTAGATACCCTTGAATAGTAGCCCAAATTTCCATAAAATTATTTCAAATGGATGAGCATTTGCTGTCCGTGCTCTTGAAGGACGGCGATGAAGTAAGTCGGTGAAGAGAAAGAGTTTGTGACCTTTGCTCAAATTACGAGGTGTGGTGAGAAATATTTATAACGCGAAATGCACAGTTTCGACTGTTTTGATAATAATTAAAACAATAAGCAGATAAGCAAATAATCGAATAAATAAAAATAAATGAATAGATAAAAAAAATTAATAAACAAATAAACAAATAAATGAATAAATAATGAAATAAACAATAAATAATAAGTAATGGATGAATAAATAAAGCATAAAGGATAAAGCATTCGCCGTTGATCAATCCCTTTTTGGGATGCGGCACGCATTCTACTTCCATTTGTACATTCGTAGTGGCATTTGAATGCGATGTGGCCTATACAATGACTTGCGGGGCCAGCCGATGTACAAGTCAGTGTTTTTATCCTCCCAGACAAGTCTGGTACCAATTAACCGACCCCGGAGGGATGGAAGGCTTGGTTGGCTCGGGCGAGGTTTTTTTTTTTTTTTTTTTTTTACTTACGACCCAGAATTTGATCCCCGGATCGCTCGCGCGGTAAGCATGCCACTTGCCACTACACCACTTCCGTCCTGATGAATAAATAACGTTCACGATTTCAAAAAAAAAGAACGAGGCACGACTGCTAGTTGGACAAGGTGAGCCACAGTCGAAGATTTCGACACCAGTAGACCCCCCATCAGCTATGGTACCCCGAACTATCTTTTCCTACCTAGCCCATCCCTCATCCTACAGAAGCTATGCTTGCCTTTCTCTCAAAAAAGTGCTTCGAACGGGATTTGAGAAATCCCGAAACCTTCAAGTGTCCTGAAAATTTCTGGACGAATCCGAAAGTCCCCTGGTTCCAACTAAATCCTCTTTCCCGCCCAAATACGCCCCCTTGCCTCCTCCCCAGCGGCGATTCGAACCTAAATCATTCACCGCCGCAATCATAATGTCGAACGATCCTGGTGCCAGAGGCACGAGATTCGACACGTATCCATGTTGCGCGGAATTATACGCATTTTTTATTGTGTAGATACAGAAGGGCGGAAGTGGTGTAGTGGCAAGTGGCACGCTTACCACGCGAGCGGTCCGGGATCAAATCCTGGGTCGTGAGTCGCCCGGGCCAACCAAGCCTTCCATCCCTCCGGGGTCGGTTAATTGGTACCAGACTTGTCTGGGAGGATAAAAACACTGACTTGTACATCGGCTGGCCCCCGCAAGTCATTGTATAGGCCACATCGCATTCAAACGCCACTACGAATGTACAAATGGAAGTAGAATGCGTGCCGCATCCCAAAAGGGATTGATCAACGGCAAATGCTTTATCCTTTTTATTATTTACGCGAGAAATTTAACCACTTATCTTGTGTAACTGCGTAGGAACATTTCGAAAGCAAATCTTGGAAGAAGATATCGTCGAATTTATGTATTTATATTATTTATTCATTCATCTGTATGGCTATCACCTATATGGCCCTTGATAATGCTCGTACTAACAGAAAACTGCTTCAAATCCAAGGCGTCGGTGCGCTTTGAAATTCAACCCACCGGAACAGTAGAGGCCTGATGATGTTCGGCAAGGAAGACCCAATTGTCTACGTAATACTGTAACGGAAGTGTTGGCAATCGAATTGGTCCGCAATTCGACTTAGAGTTGTTCCAAAAATTTTGCACCTTGAAGTTGGCGTCCAGATTTCGGTGCAAATGACGTCTGAGCCCGATAAATTCGTCCTTCGAATCAGGCCATCAGAAGCCCTTGCACGTGGGCTTTCACCAAATATCATTATACCAACGCACGTTGACAGCCAATCTGACCTTTGACCGCTCACAGTTTCCATGACAAGTAGGGTAGCGGTTTTGCTCTTCATATTGGTAACCTGCATTCAAGGTCTCTCGTCTACTTACCCAGGCAGGATCAACTGCGGCTCGACTTTGTCCAAACGAAGGGGTGGGGGGTTAGACCTGAGTGGGGGTTCGTAATCGAGGCCCTCTAGAAGGGGGGAGGTGGTAGTATTTTCGGAATCGGTCCAACGTGACGGTTGACCCTGTACCCAGGTCGTAGCTCAGGGTTCAATGGGAGCTTGAAACACTTCCCTGGTAAGAAAATTTCAAAGTACAATTCAGATTGGAGGCGAAGAGCGTGGCAAGTATGGATATCGATTAACTTTCGCTATAGCTTATATGAGAGTAAGTGGTTCTTTCTAGCTATAAAAATCGATAAATCGATTAGATGAGTAATTTCAGGATCTAGGCATGGAATATGGTGTGTTTGGCGAATCATTTGAAACGTCTGCACCGTGGGATAAGGTCATTGTCGCCGTCCATTCCAATATCGATTTTGTATCGAGTATTGATTTATTGATTTATTCAGGTACTAAATCTATGTCGAAATGTCAAGGAGCTTATCAAGCGAAAATCGAAAGAACTAGGAGTCAAGTGGGCAATCATAAGCTGCAGGTGAGTCAAAAGTCACGTCTAAGGTTTACAAGCTTTGGAGGGTCGGCCACAGTATCAGTGGTTCTAAATCTGAATGTTCGATCGTAGCGGGGTGAAAATGTAGTTGGGGGGGGCACTCATAATCGAACTGACAATATCTAATCGAAGTAAAGCTGCGGAAGGGTGGTCATATCTGATCAACATTCAGAGCACAGCAGGGTGAATAACGGTCGAGGAATTTCCTCGACCATGGCTCTCTACTGTGCGAGAGTAGTGTCGAGAGTGAATGCATGCGCGGAGAGCACAGACGGCTCGCGGGTGGCGAGAGTGAGCATCCGCGTGGGAGAGCGTGAAAGAAATCCTCGACGAGCCGTTGTCGTTTCCTCAAGCGATTTTCACCCTGGAGCACAGCCTCTGAGTGTATGATTAGATAGGGATACCAACCCGAGATTCCATACAAAATCGGATACCTGAAAGGCCCTTTCTTCGAGGGCTTGCATGGCAGTCGCAAGAAGGTGGTGAAAGTGAAGAGCCAGCAAGGTAGCAGCCATTTTAGCCATAGAATAATATGACAAGGGTAAGCGTACTAGTCGTAGGCCACGGTCTCAGTGAAAGATATGATAAGATATAAGTGCCTTCCCGCACTCTACTTCGATTAGATAGGGTGCCCCCCGAACTACATTTTCAAACGTAGCGATTGTAAAATTGATCGCATTCATTTGATCTATTTGGCCATATTCGACAAGAATAATGTCTTTAGTTACGGGCGGAAGTGATGTAGCTCATGTGGGCCGCATACCACGCTCGCGGTCCGGGGATCAAATCTGGATTCGTACATCATCCGGGCCAACCAAGCCTTCCATCCCTCCGGGGTCGGTTAATTGGTACCAGACTTGTCTGGGAGGATAAAAACACTCACTCGTAGATCGGCTGAAGAAGATAAAACACTAAATTCTTATGATACGCTTGAGCTCCCAAACAAATTCGCAGGGGCCAACGGCGTTTCCAGTCCGCTATAATCTAGATGGAAGTCGAGGCAGCATTACAAAAGGATTGATCAACACCGGATGAATCATCCTTTAGACTTCAGCTGAATATTCTCAATTAGGCACCTTCTAGAAAAAAATACTCTCACAAAAATACCTTGGTATAATCAAACTTTAGTCCTAGGACTGTGCAAGTGCGCTACAAGTTACGCTACAGGGGCTCACAAAAACACCTGCTTAGCCAGTTTTAGGAATAAAAATGGATAAATCGTAAGTTCTAACGGATTTCCCATTATACTTCCATGTGATGAGCGGTATAGCTACAGTGCATTCTCTGAAAACCTTGGTTGGCTGCAGGTTGGCCCAAGAAGGCCTTAGAGCGATCAGAAATCCTTCAGTATAGTATATTATGCAATAGATAGGTGCAGGAGGTGATTTTCTCCCGCTAAGAGCACAGCGAAAAATTACCTTAAGAAAGGGTATCTCGAGTCTGAAGCATTGCTAAAAATCGGGCTGAGCCGGGGATCGATCCCGGGACCTCTCGCACCCTAAGCGAGAATCATACCACTAGACCACTCAGCCACGGATTGTGGCTGAAAAGACATTCCTTTCTGTCTGCGCAAGTGCCGCTAACTATCTTTATTGCATTGTGTGCTCGGAACGGATATGACGATCTGCGATATCTATGAAACAATGTCGCAATTTGCGCCATGGCTGAGTGGTCTAGTGGTATGATTCTCGCTTAGGGTGCGAGAGGTCCCGGGATCGATCCCCGGCTCAGCCCGACTTTTATAATTCACTTTCCATGCTTTACTCCACTTCTTCTGTTTGCTCGCTTTCTCGCAACTGAAACCGGTTGCCATTTACTTGTTCAGAAAGGTCATAAGGCATGCTGCAATCAAAGTTCAAATAGAGCGTTCGCGAGGCAAGCGATAGCGGTATCGAACAAGCTTGTAATGTACAATATTTAGGATCCCCCAAGTATACGACGCTGGAGCCTGCGTCTACTTTTATTTTGCCTTCAGCTGTCGAGGACTTGACAACCCATTGGAGGTCTACAATAAAATTGAGGTCGGTTTATCAGTTAACTTGTCCCGTCCCGTACGAGGTTTGGACAAGGCTTTCTCGAGTGCTAAACATACTTCAGCACACTCACGAACGACCCCCTTTTCGCTTTTGGTGAGACGAACGCGATTTCTCCCCCCCCCCTTCACCTCACGTTCGTGGGGGTAACCCCCAAGGCGTTGATATCAAAATATGCAAAAATTACGACTAATGGATTGGGTAACGATCAAGCTGGCAGCCCATATGGGACACCACCGGCGTGAATTTGTAAATGAGCTGAATATTTTATCTCCGATTTTTTTCATCACATGGACTATTTGACCTATTCAAGACGGGTAACATCGTGTACTACTAGGAAAGTAAGGTGCAAGCAACACCATCCAGATGAAATCACAGCGGGCCTACGCAAACATAAAAAAGAGTGCAACGATAACGCGAATTAAGCCCTAAACAAGCGATTTACTTAAAGGCACGCTCCACGATTAGGCGCGCTTGCCTCTTCCATCCCGGGGGTAGTAGGCAGGCGGACAAGTGTTGTTGTCGCACCCCTTTTGCCGCTTGAAAGTGCGCGACAAAGGCACAAGCAGCTCGTCCACCTGCAACTCACACCTTCGTCCGCAAGCCCCACCCTCCGCTGTCCGTTGCCACGTGGCGCTGCTTGAAAAGCGCGGGCGCATTTGAGGCAGCGGTCCCACCGCGATCCTGTGTCAATGGCACTGGAGCAACTAGAGTCAGGCTCGCGAAACTCGTCCAACGCGCCTTTTCTCTATCCCAAGGTGGAATGTTGCTGAAATAGGGGAGGTTTCTGTACGGGGCGTAATCTGTGATTTCGTTTGCTTTCCTTCTCTTTTATAGACCACCTCCCACCTCTAGTATCATGACTGAACGCTTTTAGACACCTATTTTATCCCGAATCTTGCCTTTAATTAAGAAGGGACGGAGTTCGAGAGGTTGTACGAACTGCCCTGGCTCCACGGCCAGTTTATTCCCGCCGTATTTGAATTACCGTACCGTAGTACACGCTGTGTGTGTCATGAAGCGCGTGCGCTTACGTGACTCGTCCAAATGTTTAGATCAGTGCTTGTAAGCTTAGCGCCACGATGATCGGCCACTTTGGAGCCGCGACATGGCACATCTGTGATACTTCGTGAGCCTCTCTATCCACCAACAGAAACTTCGCTTGGGTGTTTAAATGCGCATACATCGGTGCTACTGTAGGCTGCAGAAAGTAAAAACTTGTTTACAACCAGGCGTCGGAATGGTGAGGATGGAGAATTTTTCAGAAAACCACCAGTTGCTTTGAATATCCTCACCCTTAACCACAGCACCTCTTATCTTATCGCCGGGGTAAAATGTCCGTTGTGCTGCCCGCACAGAGTTGAGTGATGTTATAAGGTAGCGGATTTTTGGATTTTTGATCGATAGAAGGAAATCGCCTTGATAGATACCCTATATTAACTTATCAAATCATGAGCATGATTATTTGATATTCTTGAAACCCTATTAATACCACCCAGTTGGAAAGCAATACTTCCACAGTATCTCACTGACTGTTCAGCATGACCTGACGATTTCCCCACCTCTCTTCCCTACACGCCAAAGGTTACCTCGATACATGCTCCATCGTGTGTTCAGAAGCCCAAATCACGTCACATGGAGCAGTTGAGTGGGCCGCCAAGTGTTTAATGTAGCCTGCTCGAGACGAAATACATCGCTTGCGTAGCATATCCCATCATCATGGAGTGGGAAAGCTAAGAGAACGGTGGATGCCCACATCGCAGGGCGCTGTGGGAATATCGTTGCTGAGAGCCATCAAGGTTCGTCGAAGTTGCTTCAATTTTTCAACATTTCCTTAAAAGGGAGTCTTTTAGAGTTTCCAACAGAGAATGTATTCCGAATCAATTTCCGTACTTTGATGAAATGATTTTCAAGTAAGGCCAACAGAATGAGCGACTGAACATCTCTTCCACAACCTGGGTGCACGGTTGGGCACACCACAGATATGGATACCACGCGCTAAGGTATTCAAAGCAGCGCCATTAATGGGAGGACTCCGTTGGAAGACGTGTTAGCTATCGCCGCCTGGGCGCTAGGAGATACCGCCACACGGAGAGGTGACTGTCCTATCGCTTCCGGTACGCGTTAGCAATAGTTCCCCTGCCTCCCTTCACCTAGCAAGTCGCCAAATATGACTGAGTAGCGCTAACCCCTGCTGGGCCATACCCGTTTCGCTCAATTCTCTCTCCTGTCTACGACTTGACCGCTGTTTTCGCATTACATACCATGAAACTCTCGCTATCGCCAAACAACCATCTGTGTTATACAATTACGAAATGGTTACCTGAGGCTACGGTGATTTTTTTAGGCTGAACTTGATCCTACCAACATATTCGCAAACGGAAACCTGATTGGCGTCGTTGGATCACCGCATAGCAAACTCTGAGAAAGTGGATCGTTGATTGCTATTATCATAAAGAAAATTTCTACTGATGTGAACTGAGTACAATCAGTGACCTTCTTTGATGCAGAAATAAAAATAAATCGTTTTTTGAGGATGTCGATGTCAGGTTAAAGGCGGAGTCTACGATGAAAAGGCAACGCATCAGAAATCTAATTAGATGTGATCAGAGGTGGCAAGGATAAAGAAAAAGATAAGATAAGCAAAACGACCGAAACCGAAATATGTAGGACCCTTCTTTGGCGGGGTTGATTTCATGCACATTAACTTCATCGAGCTGCTTGTCCAACGCTTAATTACTTATTCTCTACTAATACGGCTGAGTCAGACGGCGCAGAGCGGCGCAGGGCTAGCTGGCGCAAGCAGTGGGGGTTACGTCGGTCCTGCCTAGAAGCATACTCTTTGCTGCGGAACACGCATCGTCTCGCACCCTTCAGGGAGGGGAGTCGCCTGCCTTCCGACTGAATATATGTGTTTCTCCTTCTTCGACCTCCGACTTCTTCGTGGAATACTCCTTCAAAGTTGAAGTTCCTCGAAAAACAGCATCAAAATCTGGACGACAATACTCAGCATCAAATCAACATATCCGGGCCTCTTTTGAGGTCGACCTCGTCACCCAGGTGCCGTTCGCCAAGGCAGGGTTTGGGGTTCCGACTGGAATTGATTACAGAGCATTGCTTTGTGTCCTTGGAGGCCTCAGAGCAGTCTCTTTTTAAAAGGGATTCTTCCGTTCTATCCACATCTCAGTCCTTAGCGTAACATTCCATTGAAAGAAGGTAACCCCACAAGCGAGGCCCGTAGCGCGGCGAAGAGCAGAATCAGCAGGCGAGTGGCGAAGCGTCGTACTGTTACGCGGATGCGCTGCCAAGTTAAATAGAAATGTCGCAATCGCGACGCGCTGCATTGAATCTAATGATAAGGCGTAAGCAAAGTTCGAGGAAATCCTTAGTCGAGGGTAGGGTGGGGGGGGGGTCACAGCGGTTGCCGAATCATTCGCCGTACCAGCACTAATTTTACAAATTCCCTAGTAGGTCTTTTTTAGCTATGAAACCGGATATGTGGTGGGAAAGAGGGGGTCTAACGGAACCTCCTTTAAAAGGGGGCGGGGGTCACAGAGACGCACCCATTTCTTCGGCACGAGTCTTCACCCTTGCTGCTGAATCTGCCTTCTTGCCGCGCGACGGGCCTCCTGTCTCGTACCCATCGAATGGATATAGGCTTATTCAAGGGGCACCAACGACATGGTGGCTTGCGCATATGAGAAAAACGCGGCACAAAAAGTATACGAAGTTATACGAACTTTTATTTATTTATTTATTTATTTATTTATTCAATACGCTGTGTAAGACAACGTTAGAAAGGAAAATACGCAATAAAACTATAACATCAACGAGAAGCTGAGGTAAATATAAACAAGTAAATCAGTGGAGAAGTGTTGCCGATTATGCCTTTTATGCCTTAGTTACGAGTTTTGCTATTGAGCGTCTGAAGGACGCCCGAGAGCTCGGGAAGCAATTGGATTTGCTATAACGTAAATATGCAAGACCTGCCCTAACCGTGAAAAAGGTACGCCTGATGGAAGTTTTCGGCCTGGGAAATGACAATTTGAGGTGACCACCCCTAGTGTTAGATGGAATAAGGCTGTAGAATTGTGAAATTTTAACCGCGGACCTGTCGCTGAGAAGATTGTGAACCATGCATAAATCGAAGAACAAACGTCTAGACTGAAGGGAAAGGGAGATCATAAAATTTGTTCCGTATTTCAGCCTTCGGTATTCTTGAATACAGGAAGCCACCGCGACGAACCAGCATTTTTCTAGTGTAATTATTTTGAACCTTCTCAATCAGTGCAATGTCTTTCTTTTTGTGCGGCGAGAAAACCACAGTCCCATTCTCAACAAGTGGGCGAACATAAGTTTTGTAAACTGGGACGAGAGTTTTGCTGTCCTTGGTTGTCAAAGCTTTGAAAATTTGATAGGTGCGGTGGCACGCTTTCTTGTAAATTTGCTTGAAACGACCAACGTTGTACCGAAGATTCATTTAAAGCTGATCAAATGACAGCGAGCAAGGCTTACGAGAAAAATGTAGACATCGATTGTCGCTGTTGGTTCTGTCGAAGCTGCGTGATGGCTAACACTTTCTTTGAAGATCTTGCAGGATATGGCTCTTGAATGTCCTTCTTTGCTTCATGGTCAAGAACCAATGCCGCTCGTGAGGATGAATCCGATTTTCACGAGTCTTCCTTCAACTCATCTCTTACTGTGATGTCAGTGCTGTATTGAGAACTCACAAATCGCCCGTCAGCAAAAAGAATCACTGAGAAACCTTCGAAAAATACGACGTCATTTTTTCTAGAAAAGTCGTCACCAAGCGCACCGGCGCAAGATCGCATTTCTGCATGTATATGTCTAATGCTTTTTGTTGGTGTTTTTCTCAACGCGGTTGTCACGAGGAAGGTAAAAACTTGAAAGAAAACCAGACAGAAAGTGAAAGATAACGGGCAAAAAACTACGCCGATTGGGTTGGCTACTCTTTCCTCGCAAAATTCACTCGGTTTTGTGACGGTTTCTTTTCTTAAACAACTTTCCTTCTTCATTTTTGCTGAATTATTTTCCTATAATTTGTTCAGTACATACCAAATACTATCCAGTAAGAGTCTAGGTTGGAAGAAGGCTCAAATTCCGAGCACGCTTTGATAAAAATAGAAGCTTCTCCCACAATAAGGCGTTTGTCATAGTCAGGAAGCAATGACGAATGATCAGAGCAGGGTCAAGCCTGCGTTGCAGCCTGCCTGTCAATGCCAGTACGCCCCCTCCCCCCTGTGACGTGTCGAGGAATCCTCCTGGGGGGGGGGGGGGGGGGTCGTATTGGCCCGCTGGGAGGAAGAGATCGGGCCGGATTGATGCAGTAGGATCATCACCGTCGGAGGACAAACATCAAGGATCGAATCGATGCCAGGCCAGAGGATTTCCAATAACAATGTTATTCCGCCCACATAAAATTTTCGTGATTCAGAGCCCTTCTTAGTCTTCCCCCCCTCCCCTTTCCTCCCTCTGCAGGATCTTAAAGAAATTGTTAACCATTGCATAGCTTCGACTAAGTTCTCAACGCAATGTGACTGCCTAACGCTTCCTCCTTGTTTTTTGCGACGACCTGCACTTCTTCAAGGCCATGCGGCTGTTTCACAGATTTTGTGACAGTAACAGTCAACCAGTTCTATCAACTAAAAATGAAGTGCAACAAAGAAACACGAGGTGGCTTCATCTGAAGCAAAAAGCTACTTTTTCTCAAAATGCGCGTAAAATTTTTTGGCATCATGCCAGCCTGGAGTTTTGCCTTCATATTCAAATTCCATAAATTTTGACTCATTTTATACATATTGAACAATTCCTATGCAGTACGAACTTTTGAACGAGTTGCAATCTGCTGTATCACTATGAAATGCAAAGTAGAATCCGCCACGCTTGAGATAATCACCAATATCACAAGAAAGGAAATTGGGTTGAAGACGGGGTTTTTATAGAACGTTCCCCGTTGAAAATGGGACATCGATTCCGCAATGCTCAGTTCATCACAATCGACAGAGCCTTTTTTGGCAATTGCTATAACTAACTGTAGCCATTCCAATCACACTTTGAGTTCATAAGCTGGAGCTAACTCTCGACCACTAGTAGCGCGTTCACTGTAATTTTTTCAAGTCCTCTTATCTTCTTAACGAGTCTTTCTTAATCTCTATCATGAGAAATCATTTATTTATCATGAGAAAAACTTTTCTTGAAAGCTGGCTTAACTTCAATCACTCTCCGCA